CATTTGGTAAACTGGGCTTTTCCGAGTTTCCAAACGATGGTCTCCTTCGATTGTTTATCATTGTAAGTGGGAGACGCAAAACTACCTGACCCTCAAACTATCAGACGTCGCCCAGCAATTCTGGGGCGATATCCGGTTTCTCAGGTCCAGGTATGCAACAAAGGCCTTCCTTTCCGGCCTCCGCCCGCTCGCGAATGTTTTCCTCAGAGCGTGCCAGCATGCGAAGTTGTGTTGGCTTCGCCCAAAATTGACATGCCTGTTTGTACCCAGACACCCAGTGGCGCCCTCTTTCCCCCGTTCTCGGGAGAGGCAACCCTTTTTCCAATCAAGTATCAAAAGAAGCTACCCTTTGTTTCCATGTTGAACCATCCAGATTCTGAGTTGAACACACGCGGGCTGTTCACCTACTTCACCGAAGGACCAGGTCGAACGTTGCATCATGTTCCTGATACTCTCGCCGGCGTTGCCACGTTTGTGACGCACCCAGACAAACAAGCAAACCAGTAAACACGCTCACACACAGAGCTTTCTTGCATAATACTGTGCGGCTGCTTGGCTGGCTTTGCTTATTTGCCTTCGCCTGTTTGCTGGTCTTTGTTTGCCTCGTTCGCTTCGCCTGGCCGCTGTGCCGCTTTTCTTCGTTTTCTTGCATTCTTCCGCCAAATCTATAACGATCTCAGCGAGGCGAAATGAGGTTTCAGGCTGTAGAGCTATTGTAGAATTTGCAGATTCTTGCGGTGCTTGCTGGCTTGCCAAAAACACGTGTCAGCTTCTTCTTAAGTACCTGCACCGCTTGCCCGTTCTTGTGTTCGCAGTGGGGTGTCCAATTGAAGTCAGAACAGAGCGTGAGCTTCGTGTGACTCAGGCAGCCCAGACAGGACCATGAGGATTACAGATGAGGAACTGACAATATTGCCCCAGTATTGGTTTGGTGGCTCCCTTCCATCTGCTGAATTCGCCGTTTTAGTTTCCATTTAACCCACTAAAATTAAGCTTTTAGCAGGGGGTCTGAGGGCAGCCCAGTATTGGTTTGGGGCCTCTATGTCGATCGGTTAACGTGAATCAGCTGGAGTCCCCTATCAATTGTCGTGGGTGCTCATAGTGTCGCTCACATCACGCCATGCTTGGGCGCATCTTTGGTGCGAAATCGCCCGCATTCCCGTTGAATCAATCGCCCCAGCAGCGCCAAAAAGCTCAAAAGCGGCAATGTCGGTTTGTTTCCGCCTTTCTATCCATCAAACAGATGAGGTTTTGGACTCTGTATCTCAGGCATTGGCACAATCCGAGAATCTGAGACATCATCTCTCAACCTTTCCCCAAGTCCTCGAGGACTTCATATTACTTGAGTGGTACACAGGACGCTTTTCGGAGGCGAGAACCTCTTCCTGCCGTTCCCTTCGAACAGTGACGAAATTTGCGCCGGCCTTGGGCCTTCCGAGCCCGGGATGCGAACAGCATCCTGAGACTTGCTTATTATTGCGATCGGTGCTCCGAAGCTCGCGGCGTAGCGTGCTACTTACGAGTGCGATAGGTAGGGATTGGTTTTTTTGGGTGGTGGGAATGAACCGTTTTGGGATGCCCTGAAAGGAAACCACGAGTTGGATTGTTTTTTTGGGGGTCATTCCCTCATTCATCCGTTCATCCTGAGCACCAGCAGGGTTAGGTTGGGTTAAAGGGAAATCACAACATTTTGTGTGTGCGCCTTTGAGACAAGCCAATTGTCTAGCCCATCTTTGGAGCACACCTCGTAGAAGGCATTTTCCAGGACTCTCTGCCGACTTGTCGCAATCAAGCAAGTTTGGCTATTTGAACGTCTTTTTCTGGACAGAGACTCCGACTTTATGCGCACACCGGACGTCATCCTGATCGGACTGGTGCCATCAGCAGGGACCCCGCAAAATCCGCAAACTGATGGCTTTCCGTTTGAGGCTTTCCCAAGCCGCCGACAAAAAGAGAGGCGACCCTCAAAAAAAAGACCAGCCGCCCGTTTCCCACTTCTCTGACCTGTTCCCGAGACCCAAGAATGACCCGACCCACCCGGGCGTCCACATCAAAGCAAAGTCACTGGGCAGCGCAAGAAGGGGCAAAATTGTGGCTATTGCCATTTGCTGAAGAATATGTTTGAATTTTCCCTCTTGGTTTCAAAGGGAATCTATCACTGGAAATGCTTCTTGTGTTTTGTCCAGGGGGCGAAGAAGCAAATGGAAGGCCAATATGTTTACGAATGTTGTACTCCTCTCAAGACTTCCCCAGAATTAGTTCCTTCTTTTTTTTGGGGGGGGCTTTTTTGGGGTTCCCTTTGTTTTCGACTAACCAGGCAAAAAGCATATATATATATATATATTTTTTGCTGGGGTCCTATTTGGAGCCAAGAAAATGACTGGCAGATGACTCAATTTGGTTTGTCGACCCCACTCGACTCGAAGCAACATGAAGCAGACGAAAGCCACAGTCGGACGATTTTTTTCTGCGAGGGTCCCTTTTAAAATCCCCTTCAAGCAGACTCACCGCTTCGGGCCAAACAGATGTTTTAAAACCCAAGAGGGAAGTCTTCTGTTGACCTTTGAACATGTACAATAATGGAAACCCTTGGTCATCCCAATCAAGGGAGCGGCTTTAAACACAATCTTTACATGCCAAGCTTTGTGTCATGCGAAGGCTCCGCGTAAGCAAAACCCGACACGGCGCCAGCCGGTGTATCTTCCGTCGTCATCTTGAGCAGTTCTGGCAGCCCGCGTCAGCAATTGTTAAGGGGACACGCTCAAAAGGGTGATGTGTAGGCCACGCGTACGTGTAACATGCTCGCTGGCTGCCAAGTTTAAAGCATAGGTCGCGTAAGCAGAGCGCTAACTCACGAGTAATTGCAACCTTCCACGACACAGGGGTTCATGGCCCGTTTCTGGGAGTGTCACTTTGCGAGGGTACCCCTTTTTGGGAAGCCAAAGGAAAACCACTCCCAGTTGCCAAGTGGCGCCCTTTTTCAGCTTTTTTGGGAAGGGTTTTTTCTTTAGACTCAACGAACAAAAAAAAAAGAGATGCCGATCCTTTTTGTCCCACGGACATCCACTGGGCATCTGAGATGCATGTTGGGGTTGCCTGACAGACACAACCCTAGGTCACCCATACAACCTCTTTGAGGGTTTCATGCCAAGAAAGCCGCTCGGGGTGCGACAACGTTCAACTCGGTTGGCGAAACAGCCAGCGAGTCTCTGCCAAAACGATTCTGGGGTGAGGCAAAACATGAAACCGATTCATATCTAGGGAGCCTTATTTCCTTTAGACTTGGTGACATGAAGCAGATACACAAACCACATTTTGTGACACAATGATAGAATGGTACTTCCTCTACACATCAACCAGATACACAATCAGAACATGGTGTTCTTTGTGTGGCACTACGAGAAACAGAGGGGAAGGGGTGTAATTCAACCGATAAACATAATTAAGAGATATTCAACAAACCTTTATCATAAAACCAATCAAACACAAAAACAAGAACATGCAATGCAACCTACTGTGGGTGGACCAAATCCTGCACCACTTTGAAAGCATGGCTGAGGCCATTGTTGGTTGATATTTGCAGTTGAATCATCAGAAACCAGGGTTTCTGAACGGTGGTGCGAAATGGATTTTGTCCATCCACAGTATCATCAACAAGAACATTCCCAAAGTGCCCTTTTTGGGACATGGACATCCACAGGGCTAAGCAGATCAGCGGTTCGACGTCCGGACGACGAATCAAATCGGCGCCAGCCCTGCGCTCGATTGCAGGGTTTAGAGCGCCGAACCGAGTCCCGCATCAAAGATGCGCGGCATTAAAAAAGGCGGCGCCGAGACACCGAGTTCCATTCTGTATTTACTTGGTGGCTCCCAGCCATGCGGATCCTTAGCCTTTTAGCTTCTTAGTGTTTGGTAGCTTCACTTAACTTGGTGGCTCCCGGCCATCCCCTTAGCTTTTTAGCCTTGCAGTGTTTAGAGGTAGTTTCCATTTAACCCACCAAAAATTAAATCAGCCCAGTTAATTTGATTCACAGCCGCAGGCGAGTAAGTGAGTGACAGGGCCAACGACCAGGAGTTGGGACCTTCCCATGGTTACGGCTCTGAATGAGTATACCATCCTGAATGCAATGGCGCTTGCCCGTGTAACGTTGTTAAGCTGTTTTGGTGGTTTGTTCTTTACCGGGATTCTTGAAAGATGGGCTTGCTTTTGGGGTTCCATGCTCATTTGCTGGGCAGTTTTGAATTCCAGGTACGAACCATAGGCCCGGCGGCCTTTGACAGAGGCAAGGAACATGCCAAGGGAGTTCAAATCCCTAGCGGCTAAAAGACATGGACTGGGGGCTACTCGGGACCAAGCGCTGGGCTTGCTGATTGGCGGGGCAAGCTAAATGGGTGCATGTTTTTTAGGGGACCCCCCCCCGCCTTCCTTTTAGGTTCCATTTAAACCACGATAAGAAGCTACCTTCAACAGAGAGTGTGCACACCCAAATGGAAGCGCTTTGGAGCTGGTTGGGTGTGAATCCCTGAGAGACACATTTCTGGACGAGTGTCTAAGTTCATTTGTACTTCAAAGCGCCGAAACCAGTAGTGTTTCTCAGGATTCCAGTAGAACGATACATCCCAAACCCAGCCGCTTGAGGGGTCCTCCGAATCAGCAAAAGGTGATTCTGGGACTGGCCCAGATGTATCTTTCAGGGGCTGTGGTAGTTGTTCCTCCTATTTTCCCAAGGGCTCGTCCTTCCAGTAAAGACCCTGTCCTTGCCCATTTCGGTGTCGAAGCTGTTTGGCGCATTTTTCCCGGGCGTCCAGAGGCATGGTTGTGGAAACTCGGTCCACTTTAATTTCTGTGATGCGCAAGGGAATCCCCAAAGTGGCGAAGTATGGGAATGACTCATAATGGAGGGGGGAGTTCTTGAAGTTGTCCAAAAAAGTGTTGGTTTTATTTACCAGCTACAGTGTGGGGGTAAGCCATTTCGGAAAAATCCTCAATATGTTGGTACGGCGATTTTCCACAACCCTGTCCAGAGGGTGCTTGGCCTTCTCGGCTTGCGACATGCCGCAGCTGCCACAAGCCGAGGACAGAGCTGGGGAGCTGAAAGCATGTGGAACGCCCATTTTTCCAGTTTGTGCACGGTGGTTTACCGACCTCCATCCATAAGTTAGTCATTTGTTTTTTGTCTCATACATACCCCAAAAGTGTAGCACAAAGCTCCTTCAAACACAGCATTCCTATGGCCAGCTTGGCAATCCGCGCTGTGCTGGGCCTCGCCAGACGAAAGCACGTTTGGATTCTTGACTTGGTCACTTGCTTGTTTGTGAAGATTGTCGTCGCGAGGTGTGACATGGGAAGAGGCATGTAAGGGGTGAAACCAACGGAAAGTCGTGCCCGCGTTTGGAGTTCTTGTGCTGAACAGCTTCTTGAGTCAGAATCTGAACTCATGGGTATGGGTCAAAATTAAACCACCAGGGGACCGCAGGTTTTAGTCCTTGTTTTTCCATTTGCAAGTTTCCATTTTGGGTGCCCATGTTTGACCCACGCCCACATGTTTAGATACTACTCCCTGGGTTGGACTCTTTATTTTTTAGGACCTTAGTGGCAAGCAACGAGCAGTGTTCGTCCAGATTTTGGGCCTATTTTTTTTTGTCCGAAAACTCGTCAAGCTTTTGCAGGCCATGGGCCGAGTCAGGTGTACGCCATGTGGATTGCCCTTCGAATCAGTGGATCCTCAACGAGTAGCTGAAGCCCGACTTTCTCATGTGGGGGGGTGAGTCGAAGGCAAAGGGCGGACGACTTTGATTGTGCAGAAGGTCTCTGTGTGAGGGCAAAATGAAATCACCTTGGCTGAACGATTTTCACGGGGGCACCAGGACAAGCGCTATTGAATAGGGTTCTCCCTATTTTGACACATACCAAAGCCGAAAACTTGAATTTCAGGGGTCAAAATATGGATTTGCACCCCCAAACGGATGGTTAAACCACCATGTCAGGGGCGTTCGCTCGCCCCTGCCAGGAGCCATCACTGCGGGAGTCCTTGCTGGAGCTATGGCGCGAGGCTGTGCCGGTGGTTGCCAGCAGCACACTGATGGTGCTGCTTGGCTTCGGTTCAAGAGCACGTGGCGAAAGGAAATTCTAGGTCCAGCTAGGTGCCCGACCTCTCACCCCTTTTTGGGGAGGGTTCCCCTACTAAAATAGACTACAGCAAAAAAGGTACCCCTTGTTCTAGCGAAAATCGTTTCTATTCTAGGGGTAGCTTTCCCATTCCAGGAATCCTTCTTTCTAGAAAACCACCAAAAACGCTGGGGAAATGGCTGAAAAGAACGGGGAATCAACCCCTAGATCTATGCCCTCTGAAACTGAGGTGACAAATCGTATATGCTGTGTATAAGGGATTCATAACATAATATATATATACATATATACATACATATTCATATTCACATATTTGGCTGTGGCTCAAACAAGTGAAACCCAAAGTGGCACCTTGGTAAATGGAACCAAAGACTAAAACATATATTTATATGTATATGTATAGATACATATATGTATACGTATCATATGTAGGTGCTTGTGTTCCCTCACATAAATAGCGACGCATCTAGAACTTGTCCCAAGTTCCCCTGGGGGGGGGGGGGCTTAAGGTTCTGGACCGGGCACATTTTTTCGAATGGCGCCACGGGTGCTTTCATTGGGTAGATCGCCATGTTCCCCGGTAAAAGCAACAAGTCAAACTTTTGGACAAATGCAAAGCAAAGAGTAAAACTACCTGAAGTCTACTTTCTGTTCTTGATTTGTCACGTTCACTGGTATAAACCTGTTTGAAGCAAAGCACATTTTACTTCTGGCAGGTTACTTTCGCGTTCTTGTTTTTAACTTTGATGGGACACATAGAAAAGTAAAGATGCCTGAAGCAAAACAATAAAGCACGTTGTACCATGTTCCGAGGTCTGGCTCTACGAGGTGCTCGTAGACTCAGCTATGCTAAGCCAACGCACGCCAAACTGATGTTGGTGCTATGGTTAGTCTGAAGCAACCCCGCTACTAAGAACTCCTGCTGTTACTATAGAACCTATACAAAACCGATTCCAAACTAGAATCCGCAATGCTCAAGCTAGTACTGCTACTAAATATTACTCAGCTTACACGAAAGTACTACCACGCCTTTACTGAGCTCATAAACGCCTGTGCCGGAGTTCAGGCTGCATGATGCAAGAAGAACTGCTTTGCACTCATATGCCCGTCTGTTTCATCGGCTTGCTAGGACTTAACTCCCAAACCGCAGATCCACCACATTTTGGACAGCTGTCGCCATTTGCAAATCCAAACAAAGAAATCCTTATTTTGCAACTCTCTCGAACATTTCCTGTCAGCAACTGTTTTGTGTTTCTCTCTTTTTTTTTGGTGTGAGGGGGGGGGGGGAAATTGGAGTGGCGGGGCTAGCATATTATATGCCTATATATGTACTGTGTACACATGTATCCGTGTTTACTCATCCGGGGCACCCAGACTCGCGGTGGTCATCAATCACGCTTGATCAGCAGGGGCTTCTTCGGAAGGGATCCGTCCTAGGTCCCCCAGTCGTGCCCTGTTACCTTTTTTCGGGGGAGGGTTCCCCTACTAAAATAGACTACAGAAAAAAGGGCATCCTGAATTATTCTAACCTCTCTACTGAAAACCTAGCCTCAGTGCGAGTCAGTGCCCGGTTTCCTTTTCGGATGAAATGGGTGACTTGGGCCAAAAGAGCCCTGCGACCGGCGGTAGCGGAGCAACTTTGGCCCGAGTTGAGTCCAAAATGCTGCCGTTGCAGAACCGGTCGCAGTGGGCCTTGCTTTTAGGTTGCCAGTTGCCACCTGAGCCAGGTTTGTGCGAGCAAAGACTTGAGTCAGGAACTCGAAGGCTCTCTCACACATTGCCATTGTCTTTGCCCTTTTTGGTTCTCCGGCATGTGCCCTTGCCAAGCAGCTGGCGAGCAAGCCTTTTTGGCCGCTTTCTGGTTGGCCAAGAAAAGAAGCGAGGTAAACAAAATACCGCCAAGCAGAGGTCGAACAATTTATTCGGGGCCAGTTGGTCCCTTCACGCTCTCTGCAGCGAAAGGGGGGGGAGCTTCCTTTGTCACTGGCCCGAAAAAGAAGGGCCGCGGCATTTGTCCCCAATGGAAGCCCCCTGGAAGTTGATGTCTTCCGCGGCATTTGTCCTCAACAAGCGTGGCCCTGCGAGAGAAAGGCATGCAAGATGTCCACCTTCAGGGGAAGTCTGAATACGTGAGTGACATGTTTTGTTGTGGCTCAAAGACATGTACTAAAACGGGCCCTTATTGGAACCCAAGACCAAAACCTGCGGTTTGCCCTTGCTCTTAAATTTGAGCCACACCCATTGTTTTGGGTCGGGGGAAAAAACAGAGCCTCGCCACGTTCTTTTCCCTCCGAGTGCGTGAAGCCACAAACTCGCTCCGACGAGTACGCATGGCGTCTTTTGCTGGGGGTACCCATTTTGGGTGGGCGAAAGGGAAACCAAAGGCGAAAGGGTCCCCCAGCAATTGGTGCCCTTTCTCACCCCTTTTTTGGTTGGGAGGGTGCCCCTACAAATTAAGATAGACTACAGAAAAAAGTTGGTGCCCTTACTCTAACCACTCTACTGGAGGACCTAGGTCAACCAACAACAAAAGGGTTTCCCTGTTTTTCCCATGGAAATCCAGTGGGCGAAAGGGAAACCGCACTTGGCGGACCTCCAAGGCTCATACTGCGGATGGTTGCGAAATCCAGAAATCGCACCGTTCGGATTCCGCATGATTCCATTCCCCCGGCAAATACCAACCAACTTGATGGCTTTTCAACCATGGTTTCAAAAGTGGTGCGAAACCCTGCAAAAACATGATGGATTTCCCTTGTTTCTACCAACTAGATGGTTTCTTCCCGTAACTCATTTCGTGGCTCGTAGCGTCGCTACCCCTCGAGCCTAGGGCGTGCATGTTTACCAACACGCTCTGCGTGAGCCAAGTGGGGAGCCAGTCGGAGATTGGGGGCGTCGGCCTGGGCAACATGATGCAGAGCCTGGGTTCAAGGAGTTACGCCTTACGCGTTAGGGTGCTGTACCCCATTTAACTTGGTGGCTCCCAGCCGTCCCCTTTTAGCTTTTTGGTGTTTAGTGGTAGTTTCCCTTTAACCCACTAAAAGTTAGTCACTCTTAGCGGGGGATCAGAAAACGGGCAGCCCAGTTAGTGTCAATTTTCTGGGGAAGAGTGCCAATGTCATTCAATAATCATTTGGAGCCTCTTTAGTCCAAGACTCGGGGCTGGGTTGGACTTGGACTTGCCTAATTCTGACTTGCCAACTCTAAATTTTGTACTGCCAAGACTTGATCTCAGATTCCCAGTTCTCAATCAAGGAGTGCCCGTTCGAAAATTGCCCAGATTTAATCTCAGATCCCAGATTTATCACCCTTGAAACGTAAAGGCGATTGCTTTGATCTGAACACCCACCTCCACACAAACATGCTTGCCGCCATAAGAGCGGATTCCAAAACAGTCAGATTCAAGCGTATCAGGTGCTTTTGCGGGCAGCCTCCTTTGTGTGACTGTTTGGCCTTGCTGTGTTATAAGGGATCTATGTAGAGAGATCATTTGTTTTGTGGACCACTTGCAAACCAGGAGTTCCTAGATCAAAGGCCTTAAGTCTTTGAGCTGTGGGTAGAGAGGCCGCCCTTTATAAAAGCACAAGGCTGAGGCTTTGATCTGGCATTGGTTTCTTCTTGTTTGTCAGGATTTCGTCGGGGAAGAACTCTGCAGAATAGCGCCCCCCCCGAACAGAGCCAGGCTTCTGACTTAGGAACACACAGTTCTATGATAGTGACCCCATTAAGGCTATAGCTTGTAATTGTTGCTCGGAGTTTTCAGGGGTACGCCCTCAAAAGTGCGTGACAACAGTCCTCGACACCCTGCAGGTTTGTGCACTAATATTGAACCTCTCTCTTGCGCGTTGCAAGGATGACTGTATCGTAGTGTTTGCCTTTGTTGCTTCAGAGTTTACCCCGATGAATTGTCTTTGCTCACCTTCCGTGATTTCCAAAAAGTTTTTTGGACACTTCCTAGTAACTATGCCAAACCATTTTGCAAGACCTAACCGCTCAAGGTCCGCTGGCCAAGCAAGCGCGCCACTTTCGAAATTCCCCCGGGAGTTTTGGAGCAAGACCGAGTAATAGTGTCACGCCGTTCCCGTTCCTGAAAGTTTAGGAGGTGCACGGCCTAGGTGTACCAGCGTTCCGAACCAAGCAATGACCAAACCAGAGTGCCATCTTCAGCTCCTGACCTCTTCATTTTTGTTCCTTTGCCAGTATCCAAGTTACCCTTGTGACAATCGAGTCGAATGGAGGCAAACAAAATGAGCCGGTTCAGCTCCCCTTTCTACCTTTCCCCATGGCAACATTTCCTCCTTGTTCTCTTGTATGACCGAAACTCTGGCCAAATAGGGAGCCACCCTCCAGAAAAAAAGGAAAGAAAAGAAGTGGTGTTTCTTCTTGACACACCCGACACAAATTCAGACGCCTTTTTGAAGACAGCCCCCTAGAACATTTGCCCTCCCACCTGTTCAAAGTACCTTGATCTTCCCTCCAAATACCGAAAACCGCCCCCTCGAGAAAAAAACAAAACAAAAAAAACTGCCACGTGATGCACTGCCCAACACCTCTTTGGTATCTTGATGACTCGTCCTGCCTGGAAAATGCCGAAGCCCTGAAGCCAAGCTCCCCATTTAACTTGGTGGCTCCCGAAGGCCATCCGGCTCCTCAGCCGTTTAGATCTTTTTAGTGTTTAGTGGTAGTTCCATGTAGCCCACAAAAAGTCAGTCACTTTTGGCGATCGGGGATCAAAAAACGGGCAGCCCAGTGAAGACAGCCCCCGCGCACTGCCGATTTCTGCCTCAGGAATTGCCTGGTGGTGCTCTGGGGCCTCGGCATCTGCAGCGCGCAAGACACCCTGGTAGCCGCCGCCCACAGCGCCGGCAGCTCTGAGCTCTGCCCTTCGGCCGGGCTGCGTGGGTCGGGACATGTGAGCTGGGTGGGCCATTTTTGTTTTGGAAAGCTCGGTACCCTTTTTTGGGGTCGTCTTCAAAGGGACACCAGAAGTGGTTTTTTTGCTGGTGCCTGGAGGGAGAGTAAGCCCTGTTAAAACACCATTCTCAACATCTTGCTTCAAGCAAATGGGGTTTTGGCGCTGCTCGAGTTGCTTCATGTTTGATGGTAGCCGTCTATGCAGGCAATCCATGTTGCTTCATTCTGGCCGCCACCAGCAGCGATTTTAGTGGTCCCCCTATGTCCCCCTATTTTCGAGCCACCCAAGTCTGTTGGCTAAAGAACCCAAAGGTCCCCAAGGAGAACCAAGGTGAACCGAACTACAACCTGATAGGTTCCTCGATTCGTCGGGCAGTTCCGTTCCTCTGTCTGCTTACGTGTCGTTTGGGTAGAAAAATGATGAGCGAGGCTTTCTTTGGTGGCCGAAATCTGTCTATCCGGAACTGGGGTCTTAGGCAGTTGTGGCCATAAGCCGTGCCGGAGATCTTCTGTTTTTAAATGCCCGCCCCCCACTGAGTGAGGGCATTCCTAAGATATATACTAATAGGGTCAGGCTAGTGTGGACAATTGGCTGGCCAGCAGCCAACAGAACTCAGTTGGAAGTGGCAATGTACTTCCCCAAAGACTAACATTCATGGAGAGCCTCAAAACACGCCATATTGAGAGCATTCTTCTTTTGTGGAGACTCCCTTGATGGATTGCAGGTGAATTTGCAGGGGAGTAGTCATGAGAATGGGTAGCCACTTTGGTGTCGCCGAAAGGGGTTGGGCCGTTGAGCCGGAGAGCTCGAATCCTCTCGGTTTTTTGGGGGCCTGCGGAACTTGTCACCCATTGAAAGGCCGGCCCCGATGGGTTCTCTTTTCCATCCCTGCAACTTTGCCAGACAGAAAAAAAGCTTCCCCCAGAAAAAAACACAGAGATTCCTATGACCGCGACAGTTGTTTTTAGGCCTGTGAGGTGTTGAGCATTGCTTTCCACTATACCCCATACTCCAAAACCCCACTTTTCTCAGGGTATCATGTCGACCCTCTACTAAAAAACGAGGTTTTTACCATGGAAACCCAGGTTTTCCCAAAATTACCCTGAAAAAAGGCGGGTCTTCCGAGCAGGGGGGTCTATGTGCTGCTTCGTGTTGGAGTGACGCATGACATGATCCCGTTTCCCTGAGCCAGCTGCGGCTCAGGTTGCCACTATCTGCAGAGATGCAGGCTGGGGGCTGTCCTTTTCCGCCTACCTTATCTGAGAAGCAACGGAAGGGGCACGTGGCTTTTTTGTTTTTGATCATCAAGACTCGACCGCCGCGTGCCCCTTCCATTTGTCAGACTGGACCAACCCTTTCTTTCTGCCCCGTGTCCTCGGCTTTTCGAGCAGACGTGGACCTCAACTTCAGCCCGTTTCCTTGGCAGGTGGTGCTGAGTTAGTCGACTCCTGAAAAAGATGTAGAGGCAGGTTCAGGAGACACATTGCGTATCTTTGCAACAGGACGCCTGCTGCGGATGGTCGCGAAATCCATTTCGCACCGCTTTGAAACCCTGGTTGAAACCATTGTGCGTTGGTATTTACTAGGTGGTGCAGGTTTTCGTCCATCCACAGTATGGCTGCAATTTGCCTCAGCACCTTGCGTCAGGGTGATATGCACCTTGCAGCTTCTCTGGATTGTGCCCTTCTTCTGGTTCTCCGAGACTCACCTGCAAGTGGATCGGCACTTTGACGGTGTTTAGTCTTGGTCGGGGAAACGTTCTTTTGGTCGAGGTGCATCTTTGGTCCACTCCAAGCGCTCTCGTTTTGAAGGGCATGTCAACCCCTGACTGTGATGTTAGGCGGCTATATTGGGCGGAACTCTTGTTCCTGAACTTCCATTTGGTTAAGTTTTTGTTGTTCCATGACCTGTTGGTTTTAAAGGGAATCTATTCACTATTGGAATTAGCTTTTATTTTTCCAGGGGACGAAAACGCAAATGGAGGGACAGTTTGGGACAATTTCGTGAACGGGTCCTTGTGATTTGGGGCGGGCCCTTCCGGATCGGCATCTGGGGGTGAACATCCCAATCCAACCACTAAAATAGGTTCTAAAATGGGTGGTGCACCTACCCCCAAATGGTAATATTGGTTTTGACCCACAGCCACATTTGTCCAAGTCACATGCAGCCAGTGATTCTATGAGGCGCCAGCTTGCTTTCCAATGATGAAGTCTTTACCCGGGCTCGTGTCGGTGAATCCTTGGGGTAAAACGAGCTCATGCAAGACTCAACAACCCTTAACTTGCTGGTTTTCAGCAGGGAATGAGAAATGGAATGACCATGAATGACCCCTATAGACCATCCATCCTATGGTTTCCTGTAAGGGCTTCCCCAAACGGTTCATTCCCAACACCCGGCTCGTCATGCCCCTGTCGCACCAGCAAATTCACATATTGCCCACAAACTTCTCCGGGCCTATGGGTCAGTGACTTTAAGAGAAGCAGAGGGGGAAGTTCTCTTTTCTCGGGTTTCCCTTGGAAACTGGTCGCTTCCCTTTCAGCCAGTGGGTTTCCCTTCCAACACCCTTAAGCCAGTGGTAACAAAAACCTTGGCCCACTAAATTGGGGGGGTGAACTGCCAGCCAACATGCTGGGAGAATATGTTTTTTGACCGGGTCCAACAACAGGTCGGTTGTCCTTGTGAACCAACCCAAGGAGATGCCTAGAAAAGCACACACACTCTTCAAGTTCAAGGATGAATCCGCACTAAATCCCGGAGCACCCCCACATAAAGAAACAGGGGTTGATTAATATGGGGTCAACATTAACCAGTTTGGGGGTAGCAGCAACAACCGCTGATGACGCTACTTGGGGGTCTCTTGCGTTCTGGTCATGAATGATATTCGCTGGCTTAGATGGATTCGCATAGGTTCAAAATAGGGGGACTCCCCAAATGGTTGTTTTCTATTTAGTTTCCCTTCAAACCAACCAGAAAAGGGAACCCGCAAAGCAAACGCGCCCAATGGTTAGCCGTTGAGGTCCCATGTTCCATGTGGACCCGGAGCACTTTGCTCCGTTCACAGGCTCTCCTCAAGCAGAACTTGTGTCCTGACCACACCACTTGTGTACCACCCCCATGCAAAAGGGAATCCACAATAAGGCAGACCAAAGGGACCAGCCCCATGATCATGTTCTTGACCCTCCACCGGAATGCTTCGGACGATGTCGCTCCTCACGTCAGCCGCGTTCCTCCTCGCAGTTGTTCGATGCCAATGCACCAATCACAGCGGGGACAGCTGCGATGCGAGTGATGCAGTAAGCACTTTGCACTGCACCGTGACTCGACATCCTTCCCCTCCAACCCGACCTTGCCATGCTGGCCACAGTGGCCAGGCAAGGCTCGCAGACGCTTCAGGCATCTTCGGAGCGAATTCACCGCGTTCCTCCAGGAGATTGTGAGAGAGGACTTCCTGAAAGAGCACAAGATCAGTCTCCAAGATGGCAACGAGTTCTGCAAGAGGATGCAGTTGTGGAAGAAAGCACGGGACCTCACGCGTGCTTTCAGCGCCGAGTACCAGATCCAATTCCAGATGTACCGGACATCTTGGAGGGCCAGGAACTGCCTCCTTGCCCGAACTGCGACTGCGAGGAAGAGCCGGCGGAGTTCGAACTAGCAGAAGTCGGCGATGCCTACGACCCAGGAGCAAACGGTTCAGGGAGTTTTCGAACTCGACTATTGGAAAAAGAAGAGGGATTACAAAGGAGAGGTCATGGATCAGAAAACGAGCAGTTGGTGTTTTGCCTTCAGTGCCGCCAAAGCCGTACAGGGCGAATTCATGAAGCAGAAGAAAGTTGATAAGACGCCGGAACTGAGCCCCTGGCAGATCGGGCACTGCATGGATCATCGTTACCACCACGCAGGTATGGCTATGGAGTATGCGCTCAAGGGATCACACATAACAAAGAAGGATCAGAACACAAAGCTGCGCGTTCTCGATGGATTTGCGGAAGATGTCCCGGATAAGCAGAATCCCCAGCGCCAGACCTGCCAGAAGTGCACGAAGCCAGGCCAAAGCTTCCTCCCGACCAAACACAACATCACGAACGTGGCCTTATTTTGTTGCCAAGGAGCATGGAAAAGAACATGATAAAAGCCTTGTGGGTGCATGGCCCCCTGGCTTTTGCAGTCAATTATTGGAACCAGGGAGCCAAGAGCGTGAAAGCCCAGAGGAAGAAGCATTGCATAGTCCTACCCACAGATACTGACCGCAACAAGGCACTGATCGACCAAGAGAAGGCACTGATCGACCAAGGAGCAACACTCAAAGGACTATGGCAAAATCAAGTGTGACGGGGTGGTAAACCGGTAAACCATTGAAATAGTCCTGCAGAATTCAAGAGGCCCAACTCCCGACATCCGGGAATCAAGGAATGGTACGCCTACGGCGAGACTCATTTCTTCAACGCTGCATCGCCGTTTGCTTTGCCGATTCTCCCGCTCACGGCGAACATCTGAGGTTTTTGCTCCAGTTGCACCCTGTGCCGGGTCTGCGTTTTGTCAACAGACCTTGCATGATACAGTACAAGCCTTCCGGCTAAGCGAGCGTTTGCTGCTGCTTGTTGTTAGGTGCGCGCTAGGCTGCTAACTTTTACAGCCTGCATAGCCCTGCCGTTGGACCTGCAGCCGTACAGCCACGCATAAATGCTCGGCTTCACTGAATCTATTGGAAGCAGGCCTTTTGTGTGCTACACAGGTCCTGAAGTTGGACGGAGATAGCCCCCAGAGAGGGAGACAAAAGGCTGCGCAACGTGGGCCAAGGAGTGCAGGGTTGCAGCGCCAGCTGGGCAAAGAGGTTTAGCCAATGGAAACCCTGAGGTGGCGGAATTGCGCAGACTTCACAATGCAGTTGCTACTGCTTTTGGTTGGGTGTTTTCGTTTTGCGGGTTTTCTTTGGAATCATAGGGCAAACTGGTGGGTCTAACCTTAAAAGAGACATGCCCAATTGCACTAACTGAACTTACAGGAACTCAGTCACAGCTTCCCAAGGTACATCTCAACGGTCGAGGATTTTTGGCTGCAAACTTTGCAAAAGGCCCATTTGGTTCCCGAGGGCATGTTGAACGCGTGTAGTCACACACCTTCCAGGTTGAAAAAAAACAGTGTGTGTTTTGAGATTGATAGACAAAAAGAAGAACAACAAACAAACAATATACAATTAAAAGCAGGCAGCGAGTATTTGGAGCCATTTGCACTGGTGGATTGAATTTTCGGGCCGAGGACCGCATCTTAGCGAAAGGAGGCCAAGATGCCATGGTGGCCCAAGTGGCAGGCGACTACAACCGCATCACACTCCTCGGGGTCTTCGGCAACTTTATGCGCTAAGCTTAGCGGGTTCCAGCCGTAGCAAAGAGGCGTGTGTGGAGCCATTGCGGAAAAAGAAGGGTGGGTCGGTTTCTCTTGGTGTTTGTTTGTGTCTGAAAGGAGAGTATGGAAATGAAATTGATGTCTGAAAGGAAGGCTTTCTGGAAAGAGTATGGAACATGTGTAGAACAGTACAACATGGGTTTGTCTCAGGGAGCCCCCAAAATGGTTTCCCGCTCAACAATCCCCAGGAGCGGTCTCACCAACAGAACGCACAGCCGTATCATCTTGGTGGCCTTCAGAAATAGTCTTTTATATCTTGTGTTTAGTGCGGTTCATGACATGCACTATCATGCACTGAAAGTTGTTGCGGTTTAACAAGAGGTGACGAAACCGCAAAGGTACCAAAGCAACCTCGCCTTCTTGCGCAACAAGCGCGGCTCAGCTGAACTAGTTGACACTAGGAAGGTATGGAAGGGCGGGGGGGCGGTGGGGGGGGGGTACCCTCCAATAAAGAGACCACCCCCCATGCATGTTTTTGCCTTGCAACAACTTGTTAGGAGAATCGGCCTGACACAGAGCGCTGGTTTCTCGGTAGAGTTCATAGGGAAAGGCCGTTATGGCAATGCCAGCCAGTGACTACCCCCATTGGCCTAAGAATATGTCTTATTTTCCCCTAACGTGAATCTATCACAACTATTTTTTGGTTTCGAGGGGACGTAAGCCAATGGAAGACTATGGTTCCTTAAAACTACTTTTGGCCAGGGTGGCTCCGAACCTCCGAACGACTCACAACGATTCACAACGTGTCGACGACAACGTGTCGACGTGTAGAGTTTTTGCCACGGCCGTGAGCCAACGACTGACGACGGATTGACACTCATGCACACATTGGCCTTGGAGGGTTGCACATATTTATGCAAAGCTTTCCATATACTACACATATTGTATGCAAAGCTCCCCAGATACTATACATATTTTATGCAAACCTTCCCACATACTACCTATACAAAGTGAGCTTCGTCAAAGCCGGTGCGCCTTGTCTGCTTTTCAGAAAAGGCTCACTTTCAAGTGAGCCACAATCAAAACCCGGGTCAGTCAGTGAAGGTTAGTAAGGGACGATCCCAGCCATAAATAGCTGCGCCCGCCTTCTTAGTTCTTTTACATGGTTCTGGGTCGACCCTTTTTGTACCGGGTTTTGAGCAAGTGACTCAAATGGCATGCGCAGTTTTTGGACCCAGAGGCGGAACCAACCAGTCCCAAGCCATGGAGCATGCGGATGCTTATGTCAACCACGGGTGACTCACCTTCCCGGGCTCGGAGGTTGAGTTCTAGGGGACACCTCCAATTCTGAACCCACAGATCGGATTTTTTCTTTCCAAAACACCAGCAGAACCCAAGGCGAAACAGCGATCGGTTTTTGGAAAGGACGATGGTGGAAAAGAGTGGTTGGAATCAACCCCCAGACTAGTGGATTGCTTCCCTTTCAGCTCTTGGAGCCCTGAAAAAGTCAACAGAAAAGGGTGCGCTTTTGTCCCATGGCAGTGCTTCCTGACTTGTTTCGTCGTTTTTGCGCGTAAGCCGACTGTCCGACGCGCACAAGATAGTTCCTAGTGCTGAAAGACATGGTACCCATAGCCACTACGTATGCTTGGTGTTCTGCCAACCTCTACCTTGAGCCAAACCTTTTCTTCCCCCAAAAACCCAACCCTCATCTCGATGCTGAAAGACAAGGGGATACAGTTAATCACACGTGATTCTGTCAGAATGTTCGGGTAGGTTTGGGGTAGGGTTGGTTTGTGGTTCAGGTTGAGGATAAAATGAGTTATCCCAAGCAGTATGGTGTAACTGAACGCAGGTGCCGCCTTGTGCCGCCTAAGGGAGTATCAACAAGGGGCCCTAATTCTGCCTGTGGTGCCCTTTTTCCCCTTGGTTTTCGCTAAGGGTTCCCCTGTTAAAGTCACTAGGTCCCCCAGTAGTGCCCTTTTACCCCTTTTTGGGGGAGGGTTCCCCTACTAAAATAGGCTACAGAACAAAAAAAGAGGCACCCTTATTCTAAGCTCTCTACTGGAGGACCTAGGTCGACCAACCAAAACAGGGTGGGCATCTGAGTTGACTACTTCCCCTGATAGAAGGCCACCGGGCAGACTGGACAAATTGGAAGGCATGCCGTGGCTCGGCATGTGGATCGCAGTGGTCACTAGCGCCTTGCACATTGCCTGGGCCGTCCTCTTCATCATCGTCCAGGGGATGCGAAGCTGCAAATGGGTGTGGCTCAAGATTAAACAGCTAGTTTTGCGCAGGTTTTAGTCTTTGGTTCTATCTGCCAAGGTGCCAGTTTGGTTCAAGTTCTTGACCCACAGCCAAGTGGGTGCCTTTTTTTGGAGGGTAGCCTTTTTGGGTAAAGGCAACCATCCATTCAGGGGGGGGGTTCTCTTGTTTAGGGGGGAAACCAAATCAACCTTTGCAGATCTGTCGTTCATCAGCCCCATAGCTGCAGGATTTGACAGCAATTGTAACGGTTCCTAGTGCTGGAACCTCAACCATGCAGGAACTTTGACAATTGCATTTGAGTTGCAGACAGATGGTCTTTTCCTCACCGTTCCATATACGCGCACACCGACGACGCCAAGCGCTTCCTGCGAAGCAAAGTTTTTCGGGTGGTGCGGTGGGCCCCAGACCCAAGAATCGGTCCCCAAGAATCGGTCCCTGGGGAGAGGCGCCTGACCCAAAATATTTAAGGAGCCCCAAACTCCTCGGTCGAAAGGAAGAACTTTCCGAGGGTTCCATCTCAAGTGTCTTCAGGCTATGGGAGAATTTTTGGCAATTCGAGCCTCAGGCCGAGATTCCCTTTTGGTGGTTGTTGTTGAGAAACAGTTTGCATTTTTGCTTATTGTGGTTTAGCGGGAAGGAAATCCAACCACTGAACTGCTAAAACAATATATGTTTTTTTTGGCTCCCCTTCCAAGGTCTTCTCCAAGTTCTGGTGGGCGCTTGGTTGGAGAAATTTCGTGGGACGTCCCCAAGGAGCCCTCCTGAAATCGGAATCGGCTTTCCGGCCCCGAGATCTCGGTGAGGCTTGACCCAAGTTGGGCTGAAGCTCCAAAGGGGCAAATCATTGTTTTTTTGGGCGGATTGAACCCCAGGCAAGCATTTGTTTTATACTAATATGTGACATATGTGTTTGTTTGTTCTTTATTGTTTTATTTTATGCCATTTTTTTTGTTGAGGGGGGGGCGGTGGGGTGGGGCCTGGCTTCGAAGATTACCCTTTGCAGGGTTGCTCCCAGCCTCTAAAATGTCGTCAAGCTCCACTGGTCAAAGACTGGCTTAGATCTGTTTGGGTTCTCTTTACTAAGGGATAACTTTCGACCCTCCTGCTTATGTGGCTGAGAAATGGCACTTCAAATCCCGGAATCACCTCCCAACAAAAAATCGAAGCCTTGACGCATCCCCACCGCTAACAATGATTTTTTTGGGAGAGGGTTGACCCTAGAATTTCATCTGTGATTCGATTTCCCCCACGACTAGAAACATACTTGTGAACCCACTCCTTCAAGTTGCTGGGTTTTGCAGAGGTCTACTTCCTCTATTTCCTCTTGTTGTTTCGAACATCATGTTTTTCTCAATCTCAAGTGAGTTTCTGCTTGGTCACGTGATGTGTGAAGGGGACAGAAAGAGAACCGTGTCTTTGTTTCACCGCGGAAATGAAGAGATTTCGAGACGCAAAATTGACCCGTCAGGATGGGGATCCAGGGAGCAGGTTGGGCCAACGTGGTCACATGGACGACGCTCGGCTCTTTCACTGCTCCAGATGCAATGTGTGTGTGTGTGCCCGTGCTGCTGTGTTGTGTTGTGTTGTGTTGTGTAGGTGATGTGTGTGTGTGTGTTGTGTGTGTGTGTGTCGCCTCCCTAAGTGGAGAATGGCGGGGTGTTACATGGGCTTCTGGGCCCCCGCCATTTTGGCCTCGGATTCGTCTCCAGAAGGTGATGAAAGGGACTGACAGGGGGGGGAGGTTCTTACAGGGATGCGAGGGCACTGACGGTCTTCTCCAGTTTAAAGTGTTTGGGTTTGGTGGTTTCAGAATTTCACTGGCCCCTGAAATCGTGGAGCCTTGGGCTGGTTTCCTGCAACCGATGAGGTTCAGTCTGTTGATTGAGATTGAGGATTGCCCGGTCTGGCCGCTTCACCCACTCCGGAACTGGCGCACTCCCACGGGGCGGTTTTTCCTTTTGTTTGTGGGGAGGGACACCCCTCTCTTTCGGAAGGGAGAAAGTCGCTAGTTGGTTAGTTTTGCAAGAATTAGCTGTTGGCTGAAGCTAATGTTTGTGTCGCCACGACGGAACTCATAGCTATCTACGGAACCTTTGTTTCTCTGGCCAAAACCAGCGTTTCCTCCGAACTCGAGCTTGCCGTACTTGGTCGCATGTGTGGAGACGTTCGTTTCCACTGGAAGAAGACTGGATCCCTGTGCGAAAGGGTTGTTTTGCCGTGTCAACGTTTGTTTCGCCGTGGGACACCTCCCTGGAGTGACAACTTTGGAAGCTTGGAAAACAAAAACGTTTCGTCGGTGAACTGTTTTTTCCCCTTTTTTCTCTGGGAGAGCCTTGCTGCAAACTGGCGGACAGAAGGTTAGTTTCGCATGCAGGAGCATTCTTTCGAGTCAAGCTATTGCTTCAGTGCCGAAAACAATGCTTTCGTGAACTCTGGCTGTGAGTTTGTTTCATTGCACGCAAACTCAAGTTTTGCACGAAGGTTTCTTGGATGTGGCGACGTGCAAATTTGGAAATTTGCCGACCCTTGCATGACCTTTTCCCAACTTGGGTGCACTTCAGTTTAGCCTTGGCTTCATCTTTGAGCTACAGATCGCTCTCCGAGCTGCTACTCTCGCTGAGCTTCCACGTCCAGCGCTGCCACCCTCATCTTCGAGCTACCGAGCTGTCACGCGTGGGTTGCCACTCGAGCTGCGCTCTGTCACAGCCGTGCCGACGCTCAGAATGAGCTCCCGCATTGCAATGGCTGTGGCTCAAAAAACCGGAACCAAAATGAAACCCTGGTAAGTGGAAACAACCAAAACCTGCGGTGTGCCCCTCCGATCCTTTGATTTTGAGCCACGCCCCGAGCCGCAAGCTCCGAGCCGCATGCTCCGAGCCGCATGCTCCATCTTCGAGTTTCGTGGCCCGATGAGCCGGCAGCTTCCAGCGCCCCAGACTCCCAAAACCCAGCGAAAACCACCAATCCCACCTTGAGTTTTCCAGCCCAGGATCCAATTCCTGTCATCCTCCGTGGTCATTCTCTGCATGAAGCGGCGATTGGAGGGCTCAACCTGGGAGCTCTTGTTCACTTTGAAGGACACGGCCGGCGTCAGAGGGTCAGAACACCTCTTCTATAGGGATGCTTCTGAACTCCTTGAGAGAAATGTTAGACAACTATTGAAAGGGTTCCTAGTAAAGGACCCATGACCAAGACACGCACACACACACACAACGAGTTTAAATTACCATGGCACATGTGGAGGGGGGGTCAAAAGATGGTCGGTTGCTTTTGGACCTGCTTTGCTGTGTTGGGACTCGACGGGTGCGAAACATGGCGTTGCAACGCACAGTTCATGCTACCGATTCTTTGCGGAATCAGCACAAAATTGACCTGGCCAAGAGCCGGAACAGTCCAAACCTGTACGTAATTTCTTTGGTGCATTTTGCTTGGCTGTTAGGACTTTAACTTTTTGCCAACTAATGGGTTTTCCACTAAATCACTAAAAGTTAAAACAAACTTTTAGCAGGGGAGCAGAAAGCAACCGAGATTTAGTTGTTTTGAGCGTGGGCGAAATCGTTGTTTCCTTCGTGGGACATGTTGGGCCCGTAAAAATGAAGGCGCCCGACAAACAACACGACGTGGAATCTCTGAATATCAGATTTTCCGGTATTTCCCCACTCGGGTCTTCGTTGCTCGGTGGCTCCTTTTTGCGCCGTGCAGGAGGGCTTCCAGCAATGGAGGAGCTACTTGGCCCCTCGGCGCGACATTTCACAGAGCCATGATTCGGGTACGAGTCAAAATTAAACCACCAGGGGATCGCAGGTTTTAGTCCTTGGTTCCATTTTCCAGGGCCACCCATTTCGGGTACCCATTTTTGACCCACGGCCATTTGGGGGTGTGCTTTCCTTGCTAAGGGGACCCCTGGGTTCATCCCCTCATTCCTTACTGAGCACCAGTTTTGTGGGGGACCCCCTGGCTTCGCCCTTCCTTTTTGGTTTCCCTGTAGGACCTCCGTCACCCTGTTTTTAGAGGGTAACCTTTCTATGTTACTGGTTGAAAAGGGGGTTGCGAAAAGGAATTTCTCCAAGTCACTTGCAGCCAGTGTCCTCACGTGGGATCTCTGCATGGATTCTCTCGAGCTCTTTTTGGGCGTAAGCCGAGCTGGTGCAAAGCCCAACAACGAATGGGGCAATCATGTTGAACGTGGACCGGGTTTGTGTCGAAATAGGGGGCGGCTCCCCAGCAATGGTCGTTTTCCATTCGGTGTCCCCTTAAAACCAACCTTAAAAGAACACCCTGAAAGAAACACGCCCAATAGTTAGGTGTTGACGTTCAATGCTGACCCGGAGCACTTTCACCGCTAACAGGCTCTCCTCGCATCTCTGATCCAGACCATGCCATTTAGCACCTTGAAACTACCCCGTACAAGTGGGAACCTCCCAAAGGCAGACCAAAGCAAAACAACTCGATGATCATGTTCCTGAACCCCTTCTCTATCCAAAAAAGTTAGTTTGAACTGACAACTCGCGCTTTGTTCTACTTTTGAATCGAAGCAACCTGAGCGATATGGGTGTGACGCAAAATACCGGGCCCCTCCAGCCAAAAGAGGGGTCCCCCAACGAAAACCAGACCCACAGTGTTTGCTTTGCAGTTCCCCACTGAAAACGAGAACGAAGCCAAAGAGTCGGGAAAGACCGCTCCGAGAACAGTAAAGTCTTTCCAGCTTCTGTTGCAGGGGGCTCCTAGTGTTGACTCCGGACTGCTGCAAGCTAAGCCTTCTTTTGCAGTCGAAGATCAAGCCAGATGAGGAATACGAAGAAATCGTACCCTCACACCCGTTATGTGGTTGTTGCAACCAAATGGGGGGGGGGTGGGCTGTTTGGTTTGTCCGATTCTTCGGGGCAGGTTAGTTCAGGCATCCCTGGGTTGGTCACTTGAACCCTACTGTGGATGGACAAAGTCCTGCACCAAATAGGATTCCTGGAATGATGACTCCCCCGCAAATACCAACGAACAATGGTTGCCCATGGTTTCGAAGTGATGCGAAATGGATTTTGTCCATCCACAGCATGGGCAAAGCTAAAACGGAGCGGGGGTCCACCTGAGGAGGTGGCCGTTCCGAGCACCATCCAGATCTGCAGCTGCTCCTGGTTCTGGGACATATGCGCTTCTCGGCCTCGAAAGGTGCTGTTGTCATAAGCAAGCAGCTTGGGAGTCAGATTCCGATGGGGGGCTCTCAATTTGTTTTGTTGACTTTTCATGGGGTAGTTGATTTACTGGTGTGCTCCTCGACACCCAAGGTCTCTCCAGTTTTCTTGCGCAGGAAATCAGGGCATCCGGGAATCCGGGAAGGACCGGCCGAACAGATGGCGTGAGCAACTTAAGTGGCCAGGCGCCAATCAAGGAGGATATCAGAGGTTCCACTTGGATCGAGTTATCATGGTTGTCGTTGGGAGCCATTTTACATTTTTGCTTATTGTGGTTTAGTGGTAAATCCCCACTTAACTGCTAAAATTTAAATTGTTGCTCCCCTTCCAATGTCAACCGAGGAAAAGGGTTGGGCCTGCCACTGATGTTTGACGTGCTTGAAATTATGCCTGGTGGTTTGAACGGTTTTGTTGGAAAATACACGTTCTTCATTGATGGTGATGATCATCATTATTACTTCCCTGGTGGCTTGAAACCGAGCTACTCTTGACTGAAGCATAAGTGTGACTGACATATTTGTGTTGGGCCCATTGAATGGTTGCGTAGTACTATCAACAAAATTCTACGTAAAGCTTAGACGCCACTCTTCGTTCTTATTATCTTGTTGGTGCTCAGTCGGGAATGAAGGCATTAACCCAGGGGCCTTCTTACAGGAAGCCACCAGTTGGATAGTTTGTTTCGGGGGTATTCTCACATTCCCGACTGAGCACCAGCAAGTTATTGGCTCTTCTTCGGTATGACAGAATTGGTTCATAGACCTTCTGGAGGCAGAGGGTTTTTCCATAACGGAGCTCGACCTTCTGCTCGGAAACCTTGGGGCAACCTCTTAGAAACGTCGGATGACTCCCCCCCTCCCTCCCTCAGAAGGTCAAACCTCAGACAAAACGGGTTGCAGGGAGAAGGTGGTCTGTGGGAGAAGCTAGTTGTGGGTGTCCGCTCTGCGGGATGGAGGACGCATCCGGAAAATGGATGCAATTTCAATTGGGCTGGAATTGAAATCAATTGATCTTTTGTGCGGGAAAAGGAATCTGACGAAGGTGTTTCAGAGGCCCGACCCATAGCTTAGAATTGTTTAGCATTGTATGCCGAAACGAGCTTTAGTCGTCAGTGGTATTTTATATATCCAATGTTAACACTGCTGGGGCCACAAAAGTCAGAAAGCGTGGCTTCCCTTTCGCCTACTAAGGGGTGACCCACTGGTAGCGGGATGTGCCGTTTTTGTTCTTCTTTTTTTGGCATACCCCTTTTCGGTGGTTTTTAAAGGGGAAACCAAAACGATCACCCCAACCATAGAAGCGACACACCCAGTGGAGACTTCACATTTGTTGTTACCCCTTTTCGGTGCTTTTTTTTGGGGGCAGGGTCCAACCACAAAAAAGCAAGACGCCCCATGAAAACTTCGTGTGTGTATATATATGTATACATATTATATATATATATATATATTGGTTTCTCGCGTTTTTTGGTCCATAAAGCGACGCACCTTTGCCTTTAGTTTTCTCCGGATTTCGGCGCTATCGGATGCGAGGCCATGGTGGTGGGGTTGCTGGGCCCCGCGGCCTTGGCGGCGCATGTGACCACCATGAACTTCGTGAGCTTCCTGGCGCGGCCTCGCTTCGAGTCGACTCGACCGGGCAGCTTGAATGGTCAATTTCCCAACCCGTGGCGCCCGTTTGTCAACTTTTTTGGGGAAGGGTTCCCCTTTGAAGTGAACCAACCCACAAAGGGATGCCCATTTTTTCCATGGCCACTGGGCATCTGAGGTTTGATGGTTTAATTTGGTTGGAAACTGATGGGTTCCACGAGTTTGGGCGTGGTCGTTAGCCATGGAGGCAGCTTGA